CCCTCGAGCCCGCCGACGGCGCCCGGGACGACTGTGAACTCACTTTTGGCGGTTATGAGCCGAAATTCAACGTATTTGGACGCCTTTTGAAAGGATTATTGTGGCAACTATTCATACTTTATCCCTACACTTTAAAAGAACGAATTTAGGTTAGAAAAAGAGAGATTTTTGTGAGGGGAATGCTAGGAAAAGTGTGGAGAAAGTTTAGAGATTTTAGAATAGGAGTAGAAATGTAGATTGCTACCCTTTTGGAGGGATTGAAGAAGAGATTTTGAGAGAATTTGTAAGGAGATGTTCTAGCATTGCATGGATCGGCGGGAGACTTTGTGGGGGAGATTTTTTTTTCTTTCAAGGGAAAAAACTAAGTATTGTGTTCTTCATTATCTTATGGTTTTGTAAACATTTATCTAGTGGATTTGCTTTGGTTAAATAAAGTTTCTGTTGTGTTTTCTTCGTGCTTTGTGATAGGCTTCTCTTACTCTCTCTTCTTATTTGGAAATAATGGTATGAGAAGATTATGCCGTTGTTTTCATTTTACTTTTATTTTGTAATGAGTAGAATTCATGTTTAGGATTTTGTGATGCATGTTAGAAGCGGATTTAATTATCAATGTGATGGTTTTTACTTGCACTTTATTTACATTACAATAAATGTCTGTTGTAGTGTTATCGGTCCTATTGTTTGAGTACTGAAGCAGAGATGTTAGCCCTCAGGTGAGGGGAACATGGGAGCTTCGAAGTGAGAGCCGGTATCCTCCCAGCCTAGCCACAAATTCAGTAAACAAGCATAAGATTAGTCAATGTTCTTTATGTCTGGACTAAAGGGTAAAGAATAAGATTATTCCTATTTGACACATACAATATTTAATGCATCTCATTCATTTACATTATCCAATTCATTACATAAGAATAGTAGTTTTTATTATCTCAAAATTCTCCATCAAAATTCTCCAAACAATTCTCCAAACCAATTCATCCAAAAAAGTTTATTTTAGAATTAATATTTGCATTTAGTTACAGTTTCTATCTTTACATTTAACACTTGCATTTAGGAGTAGTTGCTAGATAAAACATCATTTTAATCGACATTCCAAACTAAAGACTAATTGTAGTAGATTAGAATTTGACTAAGGACCTCTTACCTCGTTTCCCTGTGGGATCGATAAACGGG